ATATATATGGGTTTGTCTGGAGTTTACAACCCCTCAGAGGTTCAATTTAGAAGGGTTTGTGATGGGTGTATTTATCAAAACAAGCATTATTATTTTGTTAAAAAATTATTTAAATAAGTAACTTTACTATTAAGCAAGAACAAATTTGAAATTTTTTTAAAAAATACAATGATTTTTGGAAATTAGTGTCCGAAAACTTTATTTGTAGAATGCCTTGTCTTTTAGTCAAAATTTCAAATTTATCCCTTATGGATATAACAAAAATACCCTTTAACTTATAGTAATATTTACAAATTTGCCCCACAAAAGTAACTTTTTTTAAAAGATAAATAACAAAATTAATAAATCCATCTTTCATTACTCTCTCTGTCTTGAACTTTTGTAATTTGAAGGGTTGTGAAGTTCAAAATATCCTTATATATATATTGAAGGATTGTGAAGTTCAAAATATCCCTATATATATAAAGATACTATAAAATGCCTATAGACGAAAATGAACAGTGATTTCGTCTACCTTCATCACCGTCCAAAGTTCATCGCATGGTCACGATTGTCCGGTAGTATTTTATTTTTCATTTTTTTTCGACAAATTGGAATGATCTGAAATTTGGAGTGTATGTACATCTTAGCGGATTTAGAACAGCTCCAAAATTACCTGATCCAAATTGAAACGGCATTTTTGAAAGGAAAAAATTTATATAAGATGCTACCTTATAATGTAGAACTCCGGATGCCCTTAAAAAATCTATTAGAAAATGTAGTTTTAATGTTAAAAAACCCTTTAATTGATCATCTCAACATCGAGATGTATGACCATAAGAAATAAAAAGATTTTAAGTCTAAAAAATAATGCATTTTACAACATATTATCTACACCGTCCATTTTCAAGATTTTCATATGTTTAAAGATCCACTTGATTTTAACCATTTTTTAAATTTAAAATTTTATAATTAGATATAAAAATAGATTTTGAGATAATCCTAATAACATTTTGCATCAAATTTATATACCATGATAAAATTTGAAGGGCACCTTACCTCGACACCTACGGAAGCATCCGTAGGACCCAACATGTAATTTTGTGTAATTTTTTTTTAGGATTATCTGAAAATCTATTTTCATATCTAATTATAATATTTTAAACTCCAAAATGGTTAAAATTAAGTAGATCAATAAACATATAAAAATCTTGAAAATGGACGGTCTAGATAATGTGTTGCAAGATGCACTATTTCTAGGACTCAAAATCATTTTTTTTTTTTCAATGTTCATACATCTCGATGTCAAGATGATCAACCTTTATCGGATCTTTGTGGTGCGTCTTTATTTCTATATTTTAAGGTTGCAACCCTATATAAACTTTTTCCTTCAAATTAAAGAGAGCTTTGTTTGGGCTTTAATTTGAAAATAAGCCGTCTCAATCAAAAATCAATTTTAAGTTTTCTTTTTTTTATTTTAAAGAAATTAATTTTAACTTCTTGAAGGTTTAAACCAATGTCACCCAATTGACGTATGCATTCGCATTTTCCCCTCTTTTACTTTGCAAAATTGAACCGTTCTAAATTTTTTGACCACTTATAAAGCTAGAAGAGATTTCCTGTGCATGATTTAAGTCCACTCGTCTCCTACTTTTTAAAGTGGCTTAAAGTCGGCGAAAAGCTACGACTTGGGGATGGACTCAGCCCTTAACCGGGCCGTGGAACTCCGGCTGAACCTCCACTCATGTCCGACAGGATCCTCACCAATTAAAAGAAGTCTTGAAAAATACAAGAAACAACCAAAAAAGATAGGAAACATATGTTTAAAGTAAAATCAAACAAAACACTAAATGAGGTTAAAAAGATAGATTTTAAAAAATCAATTTGTACCATGAGTATTTTAGAAATAATCCAAGAAGAGAAAATACTTCTCAACTTTCGCCAAAATGATAGAAAATATAAGAAAAAAAAACTTATTACAAATATTATTTGTAAAAAGTTTATTATTCTTTGAATTTTTTTAAGATCCCTAAGTTGATCACCAAACATGGAATACTTGGACTTGCTCGAGTAATCAAACACTAGGATATGATTTCAAGATCTTATAACCATTCAACATGAAACCATTTATCTTTTGATACGAGGACGTCACAATTAATTATAACTATTCAATATGAAATTTGACAGTTTAGATGTGTCACAAAATTCGAAAAAATTTCTTTTGAAGTTTGAGTCGGGTCAAACGAATAAATGCAGTCATCCAATTTTATATTCAATGATCAAGATTAATTGTGACTACTTTGTACCAAAGATAAATGATCTTAAAATATACATTCCCTTTTATACATACCACTCCCAACTTATCCAGCTTACACTGCAGTTAAGATTACAAAATCTCTGTACATATATGAATGACACATCTTAATTACTCTCTCTTTCAAAAAAGGATATGAACAAGAGAAGTGAAGTTAGAAATGGGATCATGCCCGATTCACAAAAAGAACGGCCGAGCAACATGCAGCCATAAAAAGTGAATCTCTCTCACTCTCACTCACTCCCTCTCTATATTCCCGATAAATAATTGTGTAGCATTACAGAAAATCGCTATTTGCAAGGCAACCCTTGGACCTATATAAATAAATTGGGTCAACGATCGGCACCAAACCCCATCTCCCGTTGAGTCTAAAATTAGCACCAATCTCTCTCTCTCTCTCTCT